TTTTTTTTTTTGTTGCTCAAACTTAACAAAATTAACTGGTTAATTCTGTGCATTTTCTTGAACTGACCTGCCTGTAAGACGGGTGACACAACTGGTTTAGTTTGAGTATAGGTTTGTATAGGTAAGTAATATAAATATCAACTGGAAGTGTTAAGTATTTCTTCTCTTTTTTTTTTTTTTTCTCATTTAATTCTCTTATTCTGGCCAGCAGAGAGCTGTTTATAAATCTGTGTATTGATTTTTTCCTGAAATCGATAAGCCTCTACATTTGCCTCACGATGACAGTGACTTACATATTTTGCTGTTTCAACAGATACATTGCTCAGATGAGCACCACATTTGTGATTAATATTGTGAACCAACAAATAATATTCACCGTTTGTTGTCACTGTCTCGCTGAAACTTTTAAATTCTAGATATAGTATTTGATGTATACCGTAACTACTCGATCCCATCCATCTTCTGTTCAGTGACATTTATTTTTATAGCGAAGTACGATGATAATGATGACGAAGAAGTTGTTGTTTCAGTTACTGTTGTTTGAAGGGAAAACAGAGCTTGTGTCACCTTTGGAAATTATAATTAGTAATGCGTTATCATAATGTTACTGTATTTACATAAGCTTCTCGTGTGGATACCGGTCGCCTTGTTGCTCAGTATCAATAATCAGCTATTTCCACTGGATTTTGCATGATTATAAAGTTTGGTTTAATAATGCAAAACTGTATAATAAGTGTTGATGACAAGTCGTTATAAAATACACTGTTGAATCACCAAACTGTTGTTAGTCGTTGAGTCATCGTTGGTTTTAAAAGCGCGGCCATCAGTACATACTGAAAGTTCAGACACCAGTTAACGCATTTCGCATTTGCCTTCTTGGTGACTTGTTGCTGTTGCTTTCGGTTGGCCTTGGATAGTACGAATCCCCCAACTACGAACTATTTTTTGCTATGGTGGGTTACCATCAGTATTTTTAATCTAACTTTTTCAAAACGGCATTATAAAGGTTATAGTAGTAAAATGTTGAGCACTTTGTAGCTTTTTTTCATTGCCTGCAAACATTTCCTAAGTCATTGCTTTATCTGACGTTTATTCAAAGTAAACATCGCTTATTCCTTGCTTGTTTTTTCTATACCTATGACATTACAATGGAAGTACATTGAGCTGTAGAAGACTTAATGATAAACTGTTATTGAAGGCTACCCATCCGCACGACGTTGCAGTTCCAGTGCCATTTTATTCCAGATTTGGTCCGAATCAAAAACTGGGCGGCGGTGAAGTACTGGTAGTTCACGGAAAGGTTAACCCTGATGCTAGCAGGTTCAGAAAATAATATTTTTTTAAATGGGAACTCATTGAACTATTAAAATCACATTTATCGCTTTGTCTTTTTACTGTTATGCAGTCATGTTGAAACTTATAAGCAGAATTCAAAAACTTGAATTATTGCTTCCTCTCAAATTTCTTTTAGCACTTCTGCCGCCAAATTGAGTAATTTATTTTTTTATCTATCAACGCACCGATTCATCCTTGATAGTGTCACTGATAATAAGTGCTAATGTTTTCATACTTTGAAAATCGCTAACCTTCTGACAGATCTAGGTTTATGGAACGGGGAGAGTGAAAGTTGGCCGTTGAAAAAATTCTATTTTTAGGGAGTACTACAGAATTTTGGCAAGTTGATAGTTTACTGTTGATCTCAAATTTTAGGATCAGTACTTTTAATAAATTATTTCAAAGGTCAGTTTAGCCTTGGATATCCAGTTAGGGAAGTGCACTTTTTTTCATGACTGTTGACAGTTGAACTGTCTTTTTATGCCACCTCAATGATCAAAGTTTGGTAGAGTTTTACGAATAATACTGGGTTAATATCACTGTTCAGTCATATATCATCAACTAATAACAGACTGATTAATTTGGTAAAATATCGGGATTTTTCTTCATTTTACAAATCAATAACCTAAGAAAAAGTTTTGAAATTCTGTTTACCAGTTTACAATATGGTTGGTATTGGCTGCAAAAAAAAAAAAAGGAAATATTTTCTCATGGTTGAAAAAGTAAATTGGTTTTATGAGAGTGAAAACAGTGTGGTGTTTTTCATTTGCTCATTGCCTTTTTTGCCCTACTCTCATTTCATACAATTTATTTGCATAACAACAAATATAACAACACTTTTTACGCTTTAATTTTTGTAAATTTTTCACACTTTTGTTTTTCGAGGATATTTAACTTTTTCTTTCTGGCTATAAATCTGGTTTAACAAAAGACAGTTATCTCACCGAGTGGTGAAATTCGCTTCTTCAGATTTGATGTGAATTTGCTCCGTGGAAGTGCTCATATTGCACCAGGTACAGATGTTGTTCTGCACGCAAGCATTCGTTTTGACGAAGGCAAAATTGTCTTTAATTCATATGAGGTAGGTTAGAATAAGGTTTAATTTTAATGGATATGATTTTATGGAAAGCACAGCAATTGATAGCTATCGTTTTTCTTTTCTGAGTGCAGAACGGTAGCTGGCAAAAGGAAGAAAGAATTTCAAATCCGTTCAAAAAGGATTCCGACTTTGATCTCCGAATACGTGTACATGACGAGGCTTTTGAAATTACTGCTGATCAGAAGACAGTTCACAAGTTCAAATATAGACTTCCAGCAAGTTCTGTGGACCACTTTTCCGTCACTGGTGATTGCAAGTTAAGCGGTATTCACTGGAGTGGTCGTTATTATACACTTCCACATGACCAATTTTTCCATGAAGGCAGCCTTCCATGTGGTAAGCATCTAATATGACGGTCAATACTGATTCTGCTTACCAATTATTAGTCTAGATTTGGTTAAAGATTAATAAATTTTGATTAGATATCAGAAGTTTATTAGGCATATAAAATATCACTTTTAGGTAAACGTATTTTTATCTACGGTAAACCAACTGGAAACAGGTTTGAAATCAATTTGATGGGTGCAGACAACTCTATCTTATTCCACTTCAATCCTCGTTTGAACGAAAAGAAGGTACAGTTAGGAGAGTAAATTATGATCGTAGATTTCTGTTATATTTTGTCGCACATTGAAAACAAATTTTTTGTAGTACCAAATCTAGTAACTATAATGCTTATGGGTGCTTTTGTTCAACAGAAGTTTTTATGCATCCGTTTATGCAGATTGGAAAATACAGGAGCTAACAGTATTGGGCAACGGTATACTCTATTTAAGGTTGTCCGCAACTCTCAGATTGGCGGAACCTGGGGAACTGAGGAGCGTGAAGGACCGTTTCCGTTCAAAAAGAACATTGGTTTTGATCTTGTCATCTATAATGAAGCATATTCGATTCAGGTAATTGTATTATTCGTTGGCATTAAATTTAGCGTGATTTTTTCTGGTGGCTATAAACTTCCAATGGTTTTGCATAAAACTACAATATTTTTCAGATCAAAAATTTGTTTACTTTGTTTACTATAAATAATATGCACTAGAAAACTGCTCTGTTTGCGCATCTCGATTCATTTGGAAGTCAAATTCATTTTTTGCCAATGTATTTTGTCATATTGGTTACTGAAACTGAACTTGAAAAAGCTAATAATCTTTTAGTTTTATTTCATTCTTACTTATTTTTTTTGTCACAAAGGAAATGTTGTCTTGATTTAAAAAGAAGGAATATAAGTACTGTATTTATATGTTATAAATGAAGTCAAGCAGTAAAAAGGATTTTAAAAATTTATATAGTAATAAAGAATTTTTGACAGTATTTAAGAGTTTATTATTCACTATTTCTTTGTCTTCAATATTTGATCTGTTTCAGATCTTCTGCGATGGTGAAAGAATCGGAACATTTGCGCACCGTACTTCAAATCCAAATCGCGATTATGTAAAGTTAAACGTTGCCGGTGATCTCGAGTTGACTGGTATTGAATTCTCCGATTAGCTTGAATATCGGTTTATCAAACATCTATAAAGCTTACATTTGCAGCTATTTTTCAGTTTGTTAAAAAATTGTTTTAGTTACTCTAATAAAAAATTCGTTGATGTTGAAGGCTTTTTTTGCGTTTATGATAATAATTGTTAATAAAGATTTTGATGCTACTGATGTTGTTAGACATTTTTTTTTTTTACAAATGATGCCTTTTGCAGTTAAACTAAGACATATGCTGGTATACTAAGAAACTATGTATAAGCGTTCGAAAGCATTTGACTGTACAGTCAGTAACGATCTTTAACCAGTGACAGAGTGTTACCAGTAGTACAGCAAATAAAATTTAATGTTGCTAATAATTCTTTTAGAATTAATAGCATTAAGTGAAGATTACTAGTGTGAATTTAGTTTTGTTATAAAATTTGATTTTTTATTTTTTATTACCTGTATAAGACGCTTGTTTTTTGTTGCTTAAAAACTAAGTAACCGTTGTTTGGGACAGCTATAGAAGTTAAGGAAAAAAATTTTTTTCAGAAATATAAATTACAAAAAATGATATTTATGAAATTGTTTATCTCTTAGTTTTACAATGCCTTAGAAGTGGAATTATAAGGAACTTTGTTCAGGGATAACAAGATAGCTGAAACCCAATGAGCATTGCCAATTGAATATTTTGGTTAGTGGAATCGTATTTTTGTTTTTCTCAGTGAAGGCAACTGCGTTTCTTGACCGATTTTCTTGCCTATTTTTTTCAGTACAGAATAGACCTTTTAAAATTTGAAAATCTAACTTTTTTGTCATAAATCTTTTTCCAGAAAATTATTTTCATTTTCTTTTTTTTTTATTTTTTGAAAGGTTATAATTATACGTTCTTCAGTCAGCAGAGTTTCTTGAATTGAAAAGGAAAGAAAGGAATGAACAAGGTAATTGTAGGTGTAAACGAATGGGCTTGGAGAGTTGTGATGTTATTTTATGAAAGATAGGCGATAGTTTTGTTTGCTGTTACTACGATTTGCTGTTACAAGCTGTTTTCAGTTTAAAAGTCCTTTTGAACAGCCAGACTAACACTGGTTTTCAATAAAAGTTTGAAAAAAATTCTTATTGTTAAATAAAAATAAAAGATTTTTTTCCTAAATATCAGTCTTTTAGATCAATGATTTGCCAAAACTGTTCTAAAGCATGCTACTGATAGCTGTATACATCGAGAAATATAGACAAATATTTGCGCCGTACGACGGTTTGTAGACCATGGTACTTATGGACTGTAAAGTCTGTTTACTTACGGAAACAGTAGACAGCTAACCGTAATTGAAATGTATTTCAGGGTGAACAAAGTTATTTTTAAATTACCAGTTTTACACTTAATAACCAGTATCTTAAAACTTGTTTTTGTTCTTTTTTTTTTTTTTTTATCAGGAAGTGTTTCACATATTCATATCCAAGTATCGCTTTAATTATACTATCGATTGTACACTCGTACACTCTCAATTTATGAGCTTTGTAAAATGCGCAACAAAAAAATAGTAAGAATAAAAAAATTCTTTTTTTTTATTGTTTTAGTCTTTGATTTTTATTGTCACATATTTTTACCTCTCGTTATTAAGGCTGCAACAATTTAAACTGTTTTAGAAGGTCAAAAAAGATTTTTGGCAACTTGATCAAATCAATCTTGAACACCTACTAATGGACTGATGGAACAGATTTATCAAGTTGTCAGCATTTACAACACCGTTAAATATCAGTAACTTTTGGTAATTTATAGACGATTATTAGGCAAGAAAAAAAATTTGAATTATGAATTACTGAAGCAATCAATTACCATATATATGGAGACCTGCCGACGTAAAATAAGTTTTTTGAAGGATAAATATTTATTTATTTTCTAGTTGTGAGAGTATTTAAAGGTGCTGTGGCAACAAACCCACCTCAGAGTCAACTGATACTGCTTTGATTTGTTATTTGTCGCTTCAAATTTAAGTGAAGTGAGAAAATTTGTAAGAAACAAAAGAACAGATCACTAAAACAAAGAAAAAGTCTTCTAACTTTTCTTTCTTTTTTTCTGTTTTGTTGACTTTCTCAACGTCGTTTTCAATTCCAGTCATCATTTTATTTTTTGAGCTGCTCTGACCGCCGAGTTAAACCAACAATATGGAGACCAAATATGTCACAAAATTCTTCGTGACTGTTGCTCAAATACGTCGTCTGTCCGCTATCGTCACTGATTCTCTAAGTGCACCGTAAGGACCTTCAAACAGCAGCTTTTGACCGTTCCAAAATAGTTTTACTTTTGACTGAAGTACTTTTGTGCAATATAGCAATTCTGCTTATTTTATTTACATATTTTTTTATACTAATATCTTTTTATTTTTAGATATTTAACTTAAAATAAATAACTGTCATTGACAACAACAAAAAACAATTGAGTTTTTCGTTTGACTTATCTATCTAACTATTCGAAGTCTATTCAAAGTTTACACTGCTGGAGAGTCAGTTCGTAGTGGTTTTTTCTTCACAAATAAATTCTGTGTTTCTGTGACGATAACAAATTTTTGCTTTAAAATCTTTTGCTCTGCTTTATTATATAGCCAGAAATATAAAAAATAAAAGCGGGCTGGAAAAGTTAGACATTTGGTTGGTTATCTGCTCAATTTGATTGTTCCTTTCCTTTTTTTTTTTTTTTGAAGTCAATGGCTATTTGACTGTTGTTTCATTTTTACAGACAGCTGAGAGTTTGCCAGTTCTGATCACCGTTTGTGGTTATTCATTGTCATCTTTAATCTACTTATTGGCCAAAGTTTAGTTACAAACTACGTATGTTCAAAATTTTCACGACTGTTCAAAAACGGAAATGAGCTTGTCAAAAAAATGCATTAACAAAAAGTGAATTGGAATGTAATCTGTAAAAAATTTTCGCCAAAAAATTGTTTTTCAAAATATCAAAATAACAGTTTTTTGAAGTAGTGAGTAGAAGAATACCTAGAAAGTATTTTTTTTTAATGAGTATACGTGCGATTATATCTATCGCTATCTCTTTGTGCCTTTCATCAATTGATTCCGAAGCTGTTTATTAAAGAATAGAACGGAATAAGCTTCGACAATGGCTGATCTGTTATCTGTTATAAAGCTTTGTGACTATTGTTTCGTCTTACGGTTTTTACCACTTTGGCAAATTGAACCGTTTATTATTCGATTTAATATTTGGATTTGAATATGTCATTTTATTGGCACTATAAAACGTTCAAATATAGGCGATTTTCCTTCTTGTAGAGCAGGTACTTAGACATTTTCAGACAGGAAAAAAGTGACTGGAAAAAAGAAAAGAGATTTTTAAAAAATGCTCTTTGTTATGTCGTGATAATTAGGTTAAAAAAACAGTGACCGTTTCAATAAACTGAAAATGTGAACTGTTGTCTTCTCGAAAAAAAAAGAAAAAATAAATGATACTGTCATAATCAACTGTAAACTGTACTTTGTTTTTAAAAACTCTCACTGAGATTTGCGATATGACAAATAATGATGGAACTGTAGCAGTTAGTCGATAAGTTAGTGGTTTAGTTTGTTTGTTTTTTTATCAAAAATCTCTTAAAAAATTGCAATACTGCAAATGATTTTATTGTAAATCACTTTTTCCTTTGTTTCATTTTTTCCTTTCCTCTTTTTTTTTTCATTAATATTTTTTTTAACACTTAAACAGGAATTTCTTTGTCTTTGTTTTTTTTTGTTACTTTTTAGCATTGATTGTCACTAAAATTTTTTTAGCAGCTACGATCGTCGATAAAATCATTGTTGAATTTTAAACAAAGATAATAGCTATAAATCATGTTTCCCATTTGTCGTCTGCAGCTCCAGTCGAGAATTTCTGCTTTTTTTTTACATTTAGATGCAAATCTGAATTCTGTCAACCTGTGTACATAAAATATATATAGTTTTTTTCTACACTTCTCTCCCCCTTCTCTCTCTTCCTCCTTAAAAAAAACACATATGGTAGGAAACCAATAATTGTAAAAGCGTAAGCCTGTGAACGAATGTCAGCGCTTGAAAATATTGGTCTCTAGCGACAGCTTCACGATTTACCCACACTACGTCGATGGTTTTAATCACCTGGGATAATGTGGGTTTCAACGGTTACCAGAAAAATGTGCACTTCTTATCTTTTCAGTTCTTTATTTAAAACTTATTTTCTAATGTGTCTAGTTAGTCGATAAAACTTTGCTTCTCATAATTTTCAAATATTGAGCTTTCCTTGTTGCTGATACAGAAAAAATTTTATTTCATTATTGGTAACTTTTTCTACCGTCTTTCTTTGCTACGACTTTTTTGTATCACAAATTTTGTTTCACAAAAGAACTTAAAATTTGTTGATGAGTAAAAGAGAACAACAATCAGATTATTATGCAAAAAATTTTTGAATATATTAATGATACATATGAAAAAAACGACGACCGCAAAAAAGGAAGAGTAATTTTTTTTTGCTGTTATTGTTTACACTTATCATTTTACTAAACGACAAATGTGATTTGGTAACTTTAGCAACTGCTTCCTTTGGTACCTTTTTTTTTTGCTCTCTGAATTCTGCTGCTTACCGACGACTTTAACCGTCTTTTACCTTTTTTTTTCGTTTGTTAAACAGCGAAAATAATAATGGTTGAAAAGTTAGGAAACAGGTTAGACTATACCACTAATTTTTACTACTTTTATAAATAAATAGTTTAGTTTTGTTTAGAAACAACGAAAAGGTTAAA